CCTGCTTTTTTGCTTACTTACTGCTTGCTTGCTGAGCAATCACTTAATGATCCCAGGTGTGGGTAGGGGGGAACGGGACCGGGCCCGAAATCTGAAGCTTTCCGAGTCTCAAACCGAAGGGTCATACCGTTCTCTCCAAGCGCCCTTAATACATTGACTAGATGCAGTGTGAGATGCAGGCAACGCGGCTGTGTGGGTTCTACTCAATATGCTTAATCTTCCTTTTGAGATTGCTTATGAGGGAATTATTTTTTTTTTCCTGCAGGATATCTATCTCAAATCTGACTCTCTATCATAGGTATCCTGACTCAATTGTACGGAGCAGCTGGTTCGTTTTCAGTGGAAACTACGGAGAACCTTCTCTCCGTTGATCGCCGTGACGTTGAGCATAATTCCGGTACATGCGACATTATCAGTCATTGTCCGCGCAACCAGAAGGGAAAAAATGGAAAAAGTAAAAAATAAAAGTACGATGTTGCCATCGACAGGATCAGCATTCAACCTAGAGAGCAGCTATCTTCATGCTACATCAGACTAGATACTGCTAGACACGAGACGAACACTTCTATCTGGGTCGACCCCCATCGGCTCCAGATGGGTAGATTCCCCGTGTGCGGCGGCGGTGGCGGATGCCACCCGACAGACAGACAGACAAGAACCAACGATTCTGGATCCAGTAAATATCTACAAGAGAGGTTTGGGGATAGACTCCGTTCTCGGTCTGTTTCGTCGCGGCACAAAGGGACGCATCCCCACTTGGAGCGCCTCTTGGCGACCGTTCTGCCGCGTCGCCGATTTTCTCTCACTCACTCACTCTCTCTTTTCTTTGCCTGTTCGTGTCAAGCTCAAACTCGGAACGTCGCCAGCCGCGTCTCCGAGTTGGCTCCCTGAAGCAGCTACCAGCTCTGCCCCCCCTATTCTCTCCCTTCTCTCCTGCCTGCTCTCCCGTCCACAGCCTCAATTGATGGCGTACGAACAAGCTCAAATTGGCCCGGGACCCAGTCTCCCACTGCTCATCGTCATTTAAAATGAACCCCCCTTTGACACTTTTGACACTGACAGGAGGGTAATCCCTGAGCAAATGTCCGTTAAGCTAGTCAGATTGTAAATTAAACATTCAATAGTTAATCAGTCGGGTCTTTTGAAGGTGGAAAAGCAAAGCTGTCAAAGAGTAGTGAACCTCGAGCTTATCATGACAGCTATACCAACAATAATACTCCGTATACTACTCAGTAATCATTTTAGCCAAAGAGCTGCTTTCACTTTTAGCCATTACTAGTTTCGCACAACACTTGCTTTTTCATTTACTTATTTTTTTTATTATATTTTATTATCCCTTCCCTTTCCCTATTCTGTACGTACGTACCTCGGCAGCCACGGAGTTCGGGTCGGTAAGTAAGCCGTCAAAAAAATTTCTCTCTTATTCTCTGCTATCCCTACTACCACCCTTAACTAGCTAAGCTAGCTAGCCTAGCAAGCCAGCATGCCAGGTACAACGCACACAAAACCTTCTTCCCTCTTCCTGCAGGGTTTTCTTCAAAAAGAAACGAGCGAGCGAGCGGCGTTTCTCCAGCAACAAACGAAGCCAATTGCTTCTAGAGCGATTAGTCTAGTTCGCATCCCATTCCTTCCTAAGACTTTCCTCGTCTCCGACCGGGAAGCTTGTTCCTAGCGAAGACGACGACTACGCTGCTGCCGGCAAATGCTCTGCAGGGCGAGACCAGTATGCAGGTCGCTGCACGAAGACGGAGCCCACACCAAACCAACCAACCTAGTAACACGCCGTAGTAATCCGTATCTACTTACTAGTCTAGATAGATACAAGTTCAGTCCAGTCCAATCCAATCCTCGTATGACTCCCTCCCTCTCTCCCTCACTAGACTCCGTCCTGGACTCAAAACCTGCGCTTTGGGCTCCGCTCTAGATCGTGGTCCGGTCATGGCACTAAATCCTGCAGCCAAGAAATGAACTTTCAACGAATCATTTCATCATCCTGCATTCCCTGTCCCAACAAATAAATTATCCACCTATCTGAAGTTTGCGAGGGAAAAAAAAAATACAGGAAGATTTTTTTTTTTTTCTTTGCGAAAAAGCTCGGTCGCGGTTCGTTCAGTTCAGTTCAGTTCAGCTTGTGCGGCGGGGCCCTAGACTAGTTTTTTACTTATGGTGCCACTTGTAGAACTCGATGGAGAGAGAGAGAGAGAGGGATATCATCGCTAAACAGCGATAGTAATGGTGTGGGACACACCCATCTTCAGCCTACGGGATCCCGGGCCGGCAATAATAACTCCATCTCACTAAAATGCATAAAGCCTACTCCGTGCGGTGTACCCACGATGGGATGGAATGGAAGATGGCTTCATTTGCCTGCTTAACAGTGGATAGGATAAGTAGCCAGTTAGCTAGTTAACTTACATCCATCCATCTCCATAATCAAAAAAGATATCTGCCTAAGCTTAGTAGTAGGGCAATTTGCACGTGCACGAATCCATCATCTCTTTGTCTTGTCTTGTCTTGTCTTGGCTAGGCTACTTATTATATGATATTACGCAGTAGTCCCCATTTATATTATTATTATTACTATATTACAATATATTATTATTATTGTTATTATCACGCACGCACACACACACACCTTCAATCAATACGTACTAGTAGTAGTTATCGAGTCTAGGCAGAATTAGGCCTGAGAAGCAATTTACCCGTGTCGGGATGTGTCTCACACTCTTAGTATTATGGATGTCTGTGTGTATGAGTGATTTAGTGCTTACCATGTTCATTTAACGGAGGGAGTACGGAGTACACTAATGTAGGTAATCTATCTGCTGGCCCAGGTTGTGGTTTTATGGGAACCCTTAATGGGAGGGTAGTAGGGTGTGATTTGCCGGAGATGAGTTTGGGTTGGTTTGTTGTTTGTGGGAAATTAATACATCAGTTGGGTTATACTACGTAGTTAGTTGGAGGAAGAAGCACACGTAAAGCTTAGACCATCATGTCGGAATAGGCCGCAGTATTATTTCTTTCCGTCTTGAGCATGTTGGAGGGATGATTATCTTCTTTTCTTTTTTCTACTTATTTTCATGGCTGTTTGTGATCAGGTTGAATACATACGAGGAAATGTGTGATTGACATGGTAAACCCTGTTCGTACAGAGTAGATCGTGAAGATCCCATCTGACCGATTTCACTCATTTCAATTCTATATTTTATAAGTGGTAGTACTATTGTAAATGCTATTCTAGGTTTATCATGCCTTGTAGGGATTCAAAGTTTGATCGGGTTCTATCAACTATCTACTCTTTAGCACGGTAGTACTATTGATTATCTTGAGTTTGAAAAAGGTTCTTGTAGTATGATGTAATTCCATCGGGCAAGTAAAAAAATAAATATATTTCTTGTTGGTATATGTCCGTGTGACGGAAGATTTTTCCAATCTATTGAATGTTAATTTTCGGTCTATTTCTTTTCTTTTTTCTTATCACATGTGTGACTTGCACTCTGGTGTATTGTTTAGATTCTATTAATGGGATTTATTATGCAGCTTGTGTATGTATCTTGCATCCTACCTACCCCTCATGGATATGAATATCATGTTTCGTGATGTGTGAGCAGCAGATGAGGGGAATAATCCTGCATACACTGGCACTCGGAGAAGTACTATTTCTCCGCATGGTACACAGAATAAGCACATAAAATAGGTGGGAGAATATGTACCATGTACATGTGCACACCCACGTGGTGCATTACTTAGCTCTATTGCTTAATCCCGTGGAGTATCTGCTTGGTTGCCTATCTGCTGGTTCTGCGGGGGAATTGCAGGATCCTGGTGCGTTAGTGGTCCACGTCACTGTGTTCCAAATTTGGACTCGTAGATGCAGCGGAGGAGTTGCTTTTGCTTGAGACGTATGCTCTGGTGGGCATTTCCTCTTTTCTTTTTCGGTTACGGTTCAAGGGATATCCCTGTGTGCAGACATGCTACTTTGGGAAGGACATCCACTCATTGCATCTTGGTACGGGCCACACACTTGAAATGAGTATGACCCTGTCGACGATCCACTGTCTGGGCAAAGGATCTGACTATTGACGATGGGCAATGGGCACGGCCGTGGATCGTGGTTGCATGGGATGTTGGGGTAGACAGCCTGCACAAGGTCACGGGATGATGAGAAGTGAGGGGGATCGACGGCTTATCGGAGGGAGGGGATTTTGAATCTGATATTGCTGATCGAGCTGACACGATGCTCTCTAACGCTGCCGACGCCTAATTTCGCTAGTTACGGGTGATCTCACGGATTCAGAGATGACAAATCGGGCACAGCTTCTGAGACTTGCTAGTAGAGCAGCACTTGCAAGGTCAAACCGTGGATGATGTTCCTTGCGTCCGGACCGCCCTTGTTTGTTGTCTGGTCGGTTCCACATCCACGCTGCTGGTACCGAGACCCTGGAAATTGGGCTGTGGATGGCCATCATCCTTGGGTTCTTCTTGGGGTCTGGGGATTTCCCGTTCCCCGCGGCCATCCGTAGAGGTGGCTTGGTATAGATCCTGCCTGGGCAAATGACAAATGATGAGACGTGTTGCTCTATACCCTCGGCTCGGCGGAGCGGAGAAACAAACCAAAATCTTACGTTCAAGTTCGAATAAATCTGGAGCTCTCCTTCCAAGAAGCTATGCGCCACATTTGGAAGGACTCGTATTAGGGTCCACTGTAGCTTGGAGGATATTCCACTTTCTCATATTCTTCTTGCTTTTTTCGTCGAAGGTCTCTCTTTGTCCTTCTTAAGCCTGGTCCCCGCCTGCGGAGATGCGGTAACTTGAATTCTCGGATATGACTGGCTGGGAGACGGTTCCAGAAGTCCCGGCACTGCTTCTGATAGTACACTTGCCGTATTGCTCGCTCTAGGTTTAGAACCCACTCGATATTGAACAATGATGCAATTTTTGTGTGTGCGTTTTTCTGCTCTTCTTCCACCTTCGTTATCTCTGCTACGCCCATTTTTGAGTTACAGCTGGTGGAGTAGGTCCTGGACAATGGCCATTGTATCGAGGTTGGGGAAAGTAGGCGGCTGGAGCAGGAAACCGGGTTTGTCCGTGGCCATGTTGAGCCGGTCCACATTGAGTAGAATCTTCGAATCTGAAGCGAAAGTAGAAATCAGTCCAAATGCTCACGGCTCCATAGTTCATGCAACAAAGCAAAAACAGCAAGTAATCTTCACTTACTAGTCAGTAGATGGCTAGATAGGTTGCTAGAATCCCGTGCCGTCTAAGCACGACGCCTTGTAGATCTTTGTCTTTCACCCACGCGCCTTCGGGCTATCTTAGCCCCATCACCACATGCCAACCAGGTGGCAAGCTAACATAGCCACATTTCGTTCAAAGTCAATCACAGCCGGCGTCTGTGACGATCTTTGGTGGGATGATGGTTGGATCGAGTGATGGTGTTTGTTGATGTGGGGGGGAAGATCTACAGAAGAAGCGGTCTGGCATCCTCCCGGTTTCCTCGCCAGCAGACGCAGCGCCATCACGGAATTGGCGTCAATGACTATCGAGGGTCCAAGTGGAATCAAGTGGATTCCTCGGCTCTATCCTTCGATAGTAGGAAAGCGGCGGGGTGTTGAGAAGCCTTCGAGACGAACTGTCGTTCTTCATGCGCTTCACCGACTCGATAGTGGCATGGTGACTGATGGCAATATGACAAATTTGTTGATAGACCAGATGCTGCTCCGAAGATCATGAGCTGCAGTGATCGGGATTTGCTGTCGCTGGATGGACGAGCTTTGCTTGTTGCTTTTGCTGATGCAGCACGTGCATGTCAACCAGAAAACAAACCAGCCAAAACAAGCAAAAAGTCGCCGACCATCAACACTGCCACTTTTGATCTCAATTCTCTACTCTCAATTTTTTCATTTACTCTTCCAAACAGCGCAGCTCAAGATGCAAAACAAGCTTCTTTCATAGATACCATCGCCACAATGGTATCTGCTGGGAGCTGCTGCGTCGACTGTGATCTTGCTCTGTAGAAGCGAGTACGCGAAGGCGAACTGCTTCACGATGACTCTGAAAGCATACTGATCATAACTGAAGTGAGGACAAACTAGCAGCATAGAAGCTATGGCTGCATTCATGCATTCTGATTCATCTGCATTGCCGTTATGCTCTACCTCGGTCGCGTCGCACCCAGATGGTCCTCACCACAATCTCATCGAGCCATGACTTGGTAGCTGGGCAGTCTAGACTTTTGTCGAAGATCCGAGGACGCGATGCGTCGAAGAGTGATAAGGTGTCTGTCATTATCTTGACAGATTCGCGTCGTGCGGGGTTGATAAGCTGCAGACACGATATCCCCGTGAAAACCGGCTTACGACCTTCTCTTTCTGGAGCGATCATCCTGATGGTCTTGACATTCAGGGTCTTTATCAGTGATATCAATCTCTACCAGTATCTTCACTTCCTGACTAACTTCAAAGAGAAGGTGCATTGCGCGCTGCCTGTCAGGTGATGCTGATTGATATCGACCGGCCAGCTGTCACTCAAAGCTGGCTATGACTTACAAGCGTGCTCACACGTGGCTCATTGCCCATTATCTATTAGAACTCACAGTCAAGCAACGATATCGGCTGCGTAGATTCAGCTATATGGGAGGCTTCGAGCATTTGCAGGGATCGGATCCTCCGATAGCCTGATCAGATACTGATTGATACAGAAGCCCGCGGGGTTATCCATCTTCAAAGGGGTCAAGCCACCCCAAGTCCTGTTGCTAAATAGCCGCTAGTCTACTAATACCAAACTTGGGGGCCAATCAAAGCAATCAGGATGTGCAATCAGTCGGCCGAGCACATTACCTTTTCACAATTGGCGGGCGCCTGCACAAGCATATCAGGTTATCAAAGCGATATGAAAGCCAGTGGGGTATAAGAAAGGTGCAGAGAGATGGCTTCAACTGCGAAGTATCTCATATTCGGTCAGAGTAATCTTGAGCCGCGTACAACCATTGAGAACCATCAGAAGAGAATATAACTGAAACCATGACAGATCCTATATCAGGAAAAGATGACAAGGTGGTCGCCACAAGTGCAGTTGACACCGAATCAAAGGTTGACGGTCATGTATCCCTTGGCCAGGCCGATGCAGCATTGGAGTACCTTCATGCTGGCGAGGTGGCAACTTTCTCTGATATCGATGAGAAAAGGCTGGTTCGCAAGATCGACTGGATGGTTGTGCCCCTAATGTGGGCGATCTACTTTCTGCAATACCTAGACAAGATTCTAAGTCAGTGTGTCGCGACAGCGTGCTCTATTCGACCCAGAAGCTAAACGATTGCAGTCAATTATGCTTCGGTCATGGGCCTTCTTGCCGACACTGGCATGCGGACAGACCAATTCTCGAACCTCGCTTTGGCATTCTACGTATCATACCTCTTCTTTGAACTTCCAACTGGGTATTTCATGCAGCGTTTGCCAACTGCAAAGTACTTGGGAATGAATGGTAAGACACTCAATAATCCCATATTGGCGATGCTGACGAATAAGTGACCCTTTGGGGCCTTTTGACAACTCTGAATTGTGTTGCGAAGAACTTCCCCGGACTCGTCGTTCTTCGAGTGCTCCTAGGATGTTTCGAAAGTGCTGTAGCACCTGCGTAAGACACCATCTGACGTAGCAAGGACTTGCCTAACGAGATTAGGTTGATTCTGATAACCTCCATGTGGTACAAGAGAAATGGTATGCAGTAAACCCCGCTGATCAATTCACATTCACTAACCTAGTGAAGAACAACCTAAGCGCATCGGTTTTTGGTACCTGGGCACAGGTACCGCGACCATATTAGGCGCCCTCGTTGCATACGGGCTGCTTTTCTACAAAGGAGACAAGTTCTACTCCTGGCAGATCATGTTCTTGATCTTCGGGCTCATTACTATTGCAGTTGGGATCACAGTTATTGTTGTCTTCCCAGACAATCCTATGAAGTCCCGCCTCAGCCATGAAGAGAAGTTAATGGTAATTGAGCGTCTTCGCGAGAATCGGACGGGTATCGAGAACAAGCATTTCAAATGGGAGCAATTCTTCGAGGCTTTCAAAGACCCTCAGACTTACCTGATCGCTATAATAGTTGCATCGGGGAACATTAGTAATGCAGCCATCAGCAGCTTCTCGGCCTTGATCATCAAGAATTTCGGATTTGATACCAAGGAGACTGAGCTACTCACGATCCCGGGCGGTGTCGTCAGCGTGATAAGCATCCTACTCGGTACGTACTTGGCAGGCCGCTTCGACCAGCGATGTTTCTGCATCATTGGCATTCTATGCTCTGGACTCCTTGGAGGTTGTCTCATGGCATTCGCTCCGAGTGACAACAAAGGCGCCAAGTTGGCAGGAAACTACCTGACCAACTGCGTCGGCTCAGCACTTCCCCTGCTTTATTCTACCGTCGGCGCCAATGTCGCCGGTCATACCAAGAAAGTGACTATGAATGCAATCGTCCTGATGGCGTTCTGTCTGGGTAACATTCTAGGCCCGTTGTCGTTTCGCACTGAGGACGAGCCAGAGTACATGCCAGCCAAGGTCGCCATTGTAGCCACTGTCTCTGTTGCGATAGTGTTTACAGTGGCTCTCAAGTGCTACTACATCTGGGAGAATCAACGACGCGATAGAATGTGCGCGGGGCTCCAACATGAAGAGAATTCCGAGTTTTTGGACCTTACAGACAAGGAGAACCTTGAGTTTAGAGTGAGTGCGTATCTTTTTGGTAAATTTAGCGGTACTAACATGGTCTACAGTATAAACACTGAGCTAGGAAGAAGATTAATGTCATGTCTATTATGATATATACAAATGAAATCAATATACTATATGCAAGCGCTCAACGATCATGCCACAAAGTTTGAATCACAATCTCAGACCAGATCAAGCAGCAACCTTGACGGCCTTGAACTCTTCACTGAAGTCATAATCAATGTAACCCTTGGGGTCCTTGGGCAAGTAGAAGACCTCTCTCTGGTAAGGGCGGAGAGGAACATTGTTCTGGATCATGAACGGCAGGTCGGGGTTCGCGGTCCAGGGGCGGCCAATTCCAACAAGGACCTCGTGATCCTTGTACTGCACATCAACCGCCTCCTTGGCCGAATCAGCCTTGAAGCCACCGGCAACAACAAGAGGGCTAGCGTCGCGGTACGCCTTAACGAAGAAATCCAGAGAATCTTCCTCCGAAACCAGCCCCTCAGCACCTCCGGAGATGCGTGGCTCGACAAGATGCACAAAGGCCAGCTTGAACTCGGCGGTCTTCTCAGCCAGGTGAGTGAATTGAGCAATGCGATTATCCATGCGCATACCCTGGAAAGTACTGAAAGGGCTGTAGCGGATAGCAGTGCGGTCCGCACCAATAGCATCAGACACAGCACGGATAACCTCAAGAGCGAATCTGGAACGGTTCTCAACGCTTCCACCCCAGGCATCGGTACGCTTGTTAACGGTGTCCTGAGTGAACTGATCAATCAAGTACCCGTTGGCACCGTGAATCTCGACACCGTCAAATCCAGCCGCAATGGCATTTTTTGCTGCCTGCGCATAGTCGGCAATGTATTGGTGGATCTCCGTCTCGGTCAATTCGCGGGGAACAGGGCCATCGTCGAGAGCAACAGGGCTGCTAGACACGACGTCATGGTTGCCGTTGGCCTTAAGGAATTGCGGGTTGGCGACGCGACCCAGGGCCCAGAGCTGCATGTAGATGTACGAGCCCTTCTTGTGGACGGCGTCGGTCACCTTGCGCCACTGCGCAATCTGCGCATCGTTCCAGATGCCGGGAACATTGGGGTATCCGCCAGCATTGGGTGCAATGATGGTGGCTTCCGTGATCAAGAGGGTTCCGGGGACAGCAGCACGCTGCTCGTAGTGCTGCGTCACAAGGTCAAGGGGGACGTGGTTGTCGTCGACACGGAATCGAGTCATGGGAGCCATGGCGAGACGGTGGGCCAGGGGCATGCGGCCGACCTGGATGGGGGAGAACAATTTGGACATGATGATTATGGTGATGGTCTATATGAACGACTGTTCTATATTGTGATGGTGTGTATATTGATACAGAAGAGAGACCGAGATGAGGAGATGAAAGCTGTTACTTATATACCCCCAAAGACAGGGCCACACACACTGACTCGATATTTATTCTGGAAACAACTACTAATCCCCTGTGGCACGCCATAACCATACAACCCATATCTCCGGACGAGGGGTCAAAGGAAAAAAAAATTAAAAAAAAAAAATTAATGGAACCAAATGGAGATAGAAGATCCACACCTTGGATTTCTAATCAGGGAGAAGAAGATGGATAATAGCGTAGCATGGCTGCGATTACATACAATTCGAGGGTTTAAAAAAGTCAAAATCTACATTAAGTTAGGCAAAAATCCTTCGAGAATGATATCCTAACCTATCATCAACGATATTGAACTATTTTCCGCAGTTTGAACATACAACGAAAGAAGAAAACCCTGCATAAACTTCCCACGAAGACGAATTTTCTCTGTCTCCCTCCCTCCACGGATCCAGCGGCACATTCTGATCCGAACCAAACACAGAGCAACACAAAGCATTATATTGATCATATGGACTGACACCCTTCTATGTATCTTATCTATTATTTTTGAATACACGTACTACTATCACATCAAAAGATATTCTCCCAGTAGTATAGAATTTAGAAATATATCAATATCATCATCAACAACTAACTAATACTATTATAAGCACTAACCAGACGCAGAGTAGACAAGACAATCCTGCAGAATTTCTTCTCAGCCCCACAAGTGGTACTACGTAGTTGAATTTGCGGGTGGCGGCCACATGGCTTACGTTAGCTGACAAATGCAACAACCTAACCTACTGGTCAAATCAAGCCTTACTCCATTGTAGCTACACTGCCGGATTTACGGGCGGAGACCGGTTGTTCCCTTTTCGCTCGGTCTTTGCTTAGGCCGAGGGGGTGGAAATGATTAGTTATTTGCGGGTTGCTTAGTTATAGGTGTTTATCTTAGTCAATTTATTGATTATTTTGTGGGGGTTTGACGTGACGGTTATGATGGGGTGGTTGGATAGTAATCTATCTATAGGTTATTTATTATTTTCTTGGGTTGGTTATTTCGCACTCTATGGTGATGGTTTGGTGTTGGTGTTAGTGTTGTATATGGTGGTAGTGATTTGAATAGTGAGGTAGTACGAAAAGCAGGATATATCTATCGATCATCATTTGATTCCCATTATCCTTATTCTAATTCATTCCTATCCAACTAGCAAAGAACATGACCCTCACTCCGTAGACAACAATGCCGGGGGTATTTATCCGAAACAAAACACAGACACAGACACAGCTTTACAATCAACACACAAACGAACATATAAATAAAGAGGTTTAGACAAGTACTTATATCAATAATTCAACTCTCAAGTCTCCGCGCAGTAGCCTCGAGCTGTGCGTTGAATGACTTGATCTGATGTAACAGACCGCCTTGAGCTCCCGGGGCGATGGAGCTCACGTTCTCCGCAACGTTACGGACAAGGAACTCCAGTCCGGCTGTGGAGGAAGGTTCGGGGTTCTGGGAGGTGGATTCGTCGACGGGGCGATTGCGGCTGCGCTCGAGGGCGAGATCCAGACTGTGGAGGGAGTTGTTGATGGTTGAGCGGGCCTAGTGGAGAGTTTGTTAGCAATGCTTAGGGTATATCTGGTAATCTGCTTGCTTGCTTGCTTGCTTGCTTGCTTGCTTACCATTTTGGCATTCTCTTCCTCACTGTGCTTCCTCCGTACGGCGTCCATTTGCAATGCCACTTCCTCTCGTTCCTTCCGGACTCGGTATAGTCGGCTCCGTAGGTCCATCATCTCCCGTTTGGATTTCTTGATTTGGCGTCCGAGGACAAAGTTACTGTCGAGCATCTCGCTCAGTTCGAAAAGGCGGCCCTCAAGTTCCGTGCCGTAGGCCTCGACGGCCTTCTTCTTGCGTGTCCATTCTGCACGCCGGGCGGCGTTGCCTTCGTTGGCGATCCCATTCTTGAGTGTCGCGAGCGTCTTTTCTAATGTCTCGCGGCAGATCTGGCTTAGTACGTCTGCTGCGTTGACGCCGCCTCGGCTCACAAGCTTGGTCTTCTCTTTCGCTGCGAGTCCCTCGGCTGGCTCCTCTTCCTCGTCCGATGATCCCTCTGGTTCGGGTCCTTCTCCAAGTACAGCGGCGTTCACGAAGCGATGGACAGTTACTGGCACTGTTTCTCCCCGAGGCTGTCTGGGCTTGCGCTTCTTAGGTGGAGGTGCTTCTTCGGCGGGCTCCGCCGGCTCTGCTTGTGCTGTAGCTTCTTCATCCGGAGCCGGTGTTGTCTCAGCATTCTCCTTTGACGCTGGTTTACGGCCGCGAGAGCGTTTGGTAGGCCTGGACGGTTCGGGCTCCGCTGGAGGCTCCGGCTGTGGTTCTTCTTCGGGCTCTGGTACAGGTTCCGGCTCGACTGCCTCAGCTTGCGCTGCATCGTTCTCTCTCCTTGACAGCGGTTTCCTGCCACGGCCACGTTTGGCAGGCTTAGAAGGTTCTGTTGGTTGTGTTGATTGTATTTCTGTTTCAGGCTCAGCCTGCTCGGCTTGTGCTGGTATTTCTTCGTTCGGAGCCTGCGTTTCATCAACTGTAGTTTCTGGCAATAGTTTCCTGCCGCGACCACGTCTGCCAGGCCTTGATGGTATGGGTTCTGTCGGTGCTTCCGGCTGTAGATCTGTTTCGGGTTCTGGGATGGCCTTGGGCTTTGGCTCAGGTTCAGGCTCCTGCTCTTCCGGCTGCTGCGCCTCTTGCTCGGGCAGAGGCACTTCTTCCTGAACATCCTGTGATCGTGCCGGTTTTCTTCCGGGGCGTCCAGCGCGTGTCGGCTTCTTGTCCACCGTAGGTCTTGGCAGCCGTGATTGCCGACTTCCCTTGTTGGCCACAAGATCGTCCTTTGGCTCGGATGAAATATTCACGCCAGTGTCATCGGTGGGTTCTTCTTCTATTGTAGGAATATCGGGCGTAGGCTCCTGGCCCTTCGCGATACGTCCACGAAGCCTCTTTCTCTCCATGCCCTGAGCCGGGGCGCTTTCTGCTGAGCCGGCTCTGGCCAGCCTAGACTGTTTGGCAGTTGTTGACTGCGGTTGAACGGATGCTGCACGTTGGCCTCTCGTTCGTTTGGCCCTCGGAGATGTTGGAGACTTTGTCTGTGCTGTAGTAGCATGAGGCTCGGCCGCTTTCTCGATGCCATTCGTCTCTTCGGGTTCGACAGCATCTTGAGACTCAGCTGCCTCTTGAGGTTCGGTAGCAATTGGAGATCCGGTGGCTTCAGCCTCGCTAACAATGTGTTGTTGTGTGATATCGCCTGCAGTGGTAGTATGTTCTTCGCTGGGTATTTGCGCTGCGGGTATCTGCGCTTCACTAGTAGCCTGAGGCTCGGTACCGTCCTGTTTGCTCCCGGTAGCATCAGGCGCAGCAAGTTTTGGTGACGCTGTGACTGGTGATTTCCCACCCGGTGATATATCCATTGCTTCTGACACCTGTGAATCTTCCACATTTGCTGCCTTGGGGCTCACGGCGTTCTGCGGCGAGCCCCGCGGAGAGCGACGCGGAGAGCGACGCGAAGAAGCTTCACCATCCTGGGATGTAAGTCTCTTGCGCTTGTCTCTTGTTTTCTCGCCTGGCGGAGAAGGCGTCGCTCTCGCTTGGGGTTCTTGTTGAGATTGCGACGGCGGTTCCGTGGCATGGTCAAGTGCTACAGGCTCTGCTGACTGCGGTGGTTGTATTTGTGCGGGATCCTCCTGTACAACATGTGTAGTAGACGGTATCCCTCGAGGATGTTGTGTGCCATTGGTAATAGGTGGACTCGTCGGTTTGGGAGGCGACTGGGTAGCAGCAATTGATTCGACGCCATTGTTGAGGGGCTGCGAACTCTCTTCATTCCGCGCGCTGAATGATATTGTCGAAGTTCTTCTGGGATGATCTTTGGCCTATTAGCATCCTGTACACATCATATTATCTAATTACACACCAAGTTTCCTAATCTTGCGACTAGGACCGACTTCCGGCGGATCTTCCGTAGGTAGATCGTAAGGCGACGGACGCGGCGGGAGTTTGTTGCGCGCGCTTCCTGGTGTTCGGCGAATATGCCCCTCTTGCGATGACAGCTTTCTCTCCGGCGATATATGTGAAGGTTGTGTAATCTCCGGTTCCGTTGCTAATACCGGCGCCGTCGCGTTTAAAGCAGTATCTGTTGTCGAGGCCGGTGGTGGTGCAGGAGGGAACAGCGAAATACCGACATTGTCCGGTCGCGACGTGGATTGAGACGGTTCATCGGAGGCAGTGGGCAGGCCAAAGGAAAACCCAAAGTCTATCGCCTTGGTCTTACGTGACCTATTAGACAGTCACAGCGTTAGCAAAATCGGAGTCTGGGTAAATTCGTCGCGGGGTTCGGGATGGTGATGCGCGTACGCTGCTCCGCGCTGCCGCATTTGCAGCCGCTCCTCTCGATCTGGATAGTTGGAATACCATTAGCATTGGCGCGAGCACGGAGATTTGATGCAAACATACTGGAAGCCATGGTTGAGAGGCGGCGCTCCTGGCGAGCTCAACGCGCCAAACCTCACGCGAAGGGGGAAATAATGGAGGGAGAATATGACGGGCGATGGTGGATGAATGGAGAGGAGCTGTGATGATGGAGCGATGCCGCCCGCCGAGATGGCCAATGGTGGGTTGGCGATGCTCCCGCCATGTGGGTGCCCGTGAACAACCGCAGTCTATGTTTACATTTTATTTCTTTTAGGAAGAAGTTGTTTGAAGCTTATCATCATATGACCTGGGTACGAACAAGCGATACATACAGATATATTTCACGGACATAGATCTCCCCTAATTCCAGGGAAACATTGTGATACGATGACTCTTATGCCCGAGACTACTTGATCAGTACACTGAGTTAGCAGACTAGTAAATCTGATGGACTTGTGGATATACACCCGACAACACATATTATGACAAAAAATGTGTGATTTGAGATGGAACTATGCAACTTTGACCCTTGTCACTGTCAACTGCGATTCTGTGGCAAGTATCATGAAGTCAAGTTCTGACGCTGGTTTCTTTCACATTCAACAAGCTGTAAGTTATATATGAATGTCGGGTAACAGTTGATTCGCCAAAGTACAGATCCCGAAAGGCTCCAGTATCATGGATGGAAACAACAGTTATTCACAGCCAGTACTGTCATGAAAAGATGACTTAAAAATACTATTGACTCCAGATGGCATTTACGTCTCTCTTATCAAATTTTGACTCTTTTTTTCATACCATCATGTCTTCTGTATACTGTCGAAAGCATTCGCCAAGACGCGATATATGATAGATAGATCAAGGTATTGGCAATGCCTCGGGTTCGAACCCCGGCTCGATCTTTGGCCTTTTCCTCTCTGGGCTGCACTTTAGACCAAAGCGGTATGGCGGTCGGTCAAGTGCCTTTGCAGTCGATCGGTCTCCGCATGCTCCAGCCAGTTCTTCTTCATATGTTCCTCAATACTACTCGCACCCTTTAACCGCGCATTCTGCCCATCGATTGGACAATTACTCTTCCGAAAAAGAACCCACTGCTGCACTCACACCATGGGCTGGTTTTGGGGTGGCTCGAACAAGGACGACCCGGTCAAAAAGCTTGACCCGGGTTTGCGAGAATACCTCGAGCATGAAGCTCCAGAGAAATACGTCCCAACCACCTCAGTCCCCTCGTCGCAGGACCCCTCCAAGACGGTGCCCCAAGATACGAAGCCAGCTGTCAGCGCCGAACCTTCCGAACCCGCCCTTCCCTCCGCTTCTCTATTCCAAGATGGCCGTTATGCGCATCTCTGGAAGACCTACAAGCCGCCCCAGGAAAAGGAAGCGACGGAACAGAAGACTGCAGAGCGAGTGATTGAGAAGTACAAGCAGCGCGGTGATACTGTGCACCGGGCGGCGATGGAAAACTGCGCCCTGGAGCATGAGGACTTGACCTACTGCTTCCAGACTGGCAATTGGGAGAAACGATTGCGCGCCCGTGTGACTCTGTGCTCTGAGGAAAACGCTAAGTTCTCTCGTTGTTTTACCACGCAGGCTGTAAGTGCAGGCGCAGTTAAACCGGCTCTTTTCTTTTCCTGCGACGTCTGAGCCGTTGTCGGTCGGTATATGCTGACAATCATCCAGAAATTCCTCCAGGCCCTAGGATACGCTTCCTCCTTCAACTGGGACGAGGACAGGGAAGAACGGATTCAGATGCACGCCGATAAACTCTACCATCAGATGCTTGACTACGAGAAACGGGTCGAAGAGGCGCAGAAAGCCGGACAGGAGGCCCCGCCTCTTACCTCTCTTTTCAACCCCAAGGCAGAGGCACAGCAGACACCGACCAACACACCAGGAGCCCTGGAGATTCCTGGAGGTGAGACGATTCCGGCAGGATTGAAACCGTCCAAACCGTTGGCACAGCTTACTCCACATGAACGAGAATTGGAGATCCGAGCACACAATGCGCAGCTGGAGCAACAGAAATTGTACGTACAGGAGGCATCGCCATTTATGCAGACACACGAGGACGCACGGCAAAAGCGCAGAGAGAAGGCCGTCAGTTGGTTCGGCGAGACGATTGGCCGTTGGGTTACATAAAGCATATGCGTGGTGCTTCCATTATGGACTGGATCTTTCTCTTCTCTTGTGTATGATTACCCCATTTGTCACCCCCTCCAGTAGGAGTTATGATTTAGAAGCGAGTCTGCGACAATCGACGTTGTTACGCATGGACATGCAGGGCCACGGATTTCCAGGGTCCTTTTTTACCCTTCCAATAGGAATGCAAGGAAAGCCAATGAAAGTAAATAAAAACCTAAAGCAAACGCAGGAGAGCGATCCCTCAGGTACCATCGCTGGGGATAGATATACTTGCTTGCTTATACACCTTTTGAGCTAGGAGGGATTGATCTGCAACAAACCATGAGCAGAAGCATACATCTAGTTCACGTAGAAAAGCGACCGTTTGGTATGTTCAAGACATGCATAAAGACAGGAGACAAACCTCAGTACCAAAAATGTAGAACATTGTAACCACGGGAAGTAGTTGAAATGCTGATCGATTGCATCTCCAGGAAAGATGCTGACGGACAGGGCGGCTGTCATTCGCCGGGCGCGTTGAACGCCAGAGCGACACGAGGAAGCGAAACCAACACGGGAAGCATCGACATCACCACTACGACCCTTTGGCTCTCTGTTGCTGGGCCCTCTTTTTTTCCTCTTCCCATTCAACTTTCCTCAATACAACTTGGTGACTACTCACTCCCTGGCTACCTTCACCGGATCTATCCCTTTTTTCTGCCTCCCCACTGGAATCCTCCGTCTCTCCACCGGTTGTGCTCCGCGGCACCTGATTAATTGATTGATTGATCGATTGATTCCTCTTGTTGCTCCAAAGCAATAAATTAACCTTCTCTACGAACGGCTCCCTCCTCCGATCATTACCCATTCTCGCTCTCTCTTGCTGTGGCGATCTCACACCCTTTTCATTGCCAACATTCAATATTATCAAGCTCTTCCCCTGCACGCAAGAAGAGCTGTAGTCTTCTCCGTTACTCCCCAGGGGCCCTCATTGAGCTGCCGTGCTCACCATGAAGGCCACCCCGTTGCTCATCTCGTGGCACAACGACAATGCCCCCATCTACTCGGTCCATTTTGACCCCAATGGCAAAGGTCGTCTGGCCACGGCTGGCAAGTATGCTATTCCACTCTTTGTGTTAATTCGAGTCTTGGGTCTATGGTGCTAACGCTTCTCCTCCCTAGTGATAACAACGTCCGAGTACGAAACCCCCTCACCAGACCTCCTCCCCCTCATTACTCCTCCTCTCGGCCTTTTCTCTGACAAACACTCAACCATAGCTATGGAAAGTGGAGACAACTGGCGAAGAACGAAAAGTGACCTACCTGAGCACACTGATTAAACACACCCAAGCCGTCAATGTGGTCCGTTTCAGTCCTAAAGGTAGATATCTCCTCGACCCGTATACCCGATCTTGTCTCTGACTTCGTCTTTGTCAATGTTTCAGGCGAGATGCTGGCATCTGCCGGAGATGATGGCAATGTGTTACTCTGGGTCCCATCGGAATTGCAAACACAATCTGGCCTGGGTGAAGATCGTTCGGACGACAAGGAAACATGGCGCGTAAAGCACATGTGTCGATCTTCTGGTGCAGAGATCTATGATCTCGCCTGGTCACCGGATGGCGTGTTCATCATCACAGGGAGCATGGACAATATTGCTCGGATCTATAATGCTCAGACAGGTGAGCTTCCTCTCTCAGAATCCCTCGAGGAATACCTTTAGCTGACGACGAAAAACCTAGGTCAAATGGTACGCCAGATTGCTGAGCACTCTCATTATGTCCAAGGTGTAGCTTGGGATCCTCTGAATGAGTTCGTGGCGACACAGTCGTCAGATCGCTCTGTCCATATCTACAGCTTGAAAACAAAGGATGGTCAATTCACCCTCACCTCCCATGGGAAATTCCTCAAGATGGATCTCCCTGCCAAACGCATCTCCTCCAGTAGTCCAGCTCCGCCAGATCCTTCTATTCGCTCACAACCCGCAGCACCGAGCTCCGCTGCTGCTGCTATTGTGTCCCCTGCCCCTTCTACCCCGGGCACACCGATGACCTCAAATCTGCCCATGGACCCTCCACCGGTGTCTCACAGCCGACGCTCATCCTTCGGCTCATCTCCCTCGATCCGTCGATCGGCATCCCCAGCGCCATCCTTGCCATTGCCTGCAGTCAAGCCACTGGAAGTACCCTCGCCAGGTCTGCTGGGTGGACTTGGCGTGAAGAATGCCAATATATATGCGAATGAAACCTTCACCTCATTCTTCCGGAGGCTGACATTTGCCCCCGATGGTAGCTTGCTATTCACGCCCGCAGGCCAATACAAAACTTCGCATGTGTCTGCTACGGATCCGACCAAGACGACAGATGAGATCACCAACACTGTCTACATCTACACTCGTGCAGGCTTCAACAAGCCTCCCATCTCCCATCTTCCAGGCCACAAGAAGCCCTCTGTGGCAGTGAAATGCTCCCCCGTGTTTTACACGCTTCGGCAGGGTCCCCAGCCTGCGAAGCATATCACATTAGATACCTCGTCAACGGAGGAATCTTTCTCTTCTCTTCCCGAGCCGGTAGTAAGCTCTACAGGGGACAATGCTTCCATGGAACCCCCAATGTCGGCGCCAAACGACCAAGCGAAGAATAACTCGACTCCCAAGGCCACGGATCGAGCAGTAAGCCAGAGTCCTGCACCTGTATTCACGTTACCTTACCGGATCGTGTATGCTGTCGCGACCCAGGATGGGGTCATGGTATATGATACCCAGCAACAGACACCAATTTGTGTCGTTAGCAATTTGCACTTTGCCACATTCACTGACTTGACATGGTAAGTTCAGTATCAGAAACAGGATCACTTATCGGTGTACTAAGTGCTCTCCAGGTCAAACGACGGATTGACTTTGATGATGAGTTCATCAGACGGGTTTTGTTCGACCCTCGCGTTTTCCCCGGGTGAATTGGGCCAACAATACGTTGCTCCGGCATCAGCGGCTCAACAGGCAGGAGCTGCCGTTTCATCCGCCAATAACACGCCTCTCCCCACGCCCGTCACTGCCAAACCAAGCTCAGCGGTTCAAGCGAATTCGACTCAGGCACCTCCCGCAAGTCCGGCACGGTCCAACTCTGTCTCTTCGGTTACGACACAGTCTGGTAGCTCGAGGCTCATCAATAACCCGACGCCCACGCTGGGATCTGTGCCGCTGGTGACAGCAACCCATTCAGCCCAGCCTCCGACACTTCCGCTCACTACCCCGCCGCAGACCCCCATGTCCGCGGCCTCCCAAAGTGGGACAAGCTATGTCAGCAACAGTGTTCTAGGCAAACGAGCCGGTGAATCTGAGAAGGAGGACGACAAAGATCAGAGTGCCGCTCCGCAGGCACAACAGCAGAGTCAGCAACAGCCGAAGAAGAGACGGGTTGCACCGACCCTGATATCAGCCGGCACCAATCCGTCTGCTACATTGCGTGACGAGCCACCCAATGCTGACGTGGGCGGTTAAATCTCGCCTGACAAAGACATACCTTATCTGGTCGCCCAAGTGTAACTATTAACTGCTGTTCCTCATCGCTCCCCCCACCCCTTCTTTTTTATCCGTGTAATGTCAAACGCGGGCCCGGATGATCTGGTTGCTACGATTATTATCATTATTATTATTCCCTTGCTGATGATTTACGTCCCCTTTCATTTCCGTCTTTTTAAATTTGCTTTTTCCTTCAATCCGATGGGTCTCGGTTCCTTCCTGGAAATCCCGGTAGAGTTTACCCACGCGTTCCGGTCATGCATGCATGCATTTTTTCTCCCTCCATTTCTTCTGGCGCATTCACTGTAACCTTGCAACCTCATCCCCTCATCCGTCTTATGCTCACCTTTACTTCTTTTTTTTTTTTTTTTTTTTTTTTTTTGGCTCAACTCACGTGGGGAGGGGCTCGGATTACTCCATGTATTTACTCATCTCGCTTTTTTTCCATAGCCACAACCCTTGTCTACTTTGGTGTTCTTCATGGTTACTGTTTACTTTTTTTTCATAGTCGCGAGTACCCCCTTTTCCCCTTTGATTCTGTTTTTCTCCAGGGGTTTCATCTTATCTTGCAAAGGCAGTGGTTGCATTGTTCATTGACTGACTATTGACTCTGGCCATGGCTGCGCTGCGGGGGGGAGGTAAGATCCATAGGTAACTAACTAACTAGTTAGTAGGTAAGGTAGGAAACTTGTCTGGTTGTTTTTGGAATAGATCATCAATCAAACATTCAATCGGATCTGGTGTTCCTTTCTATCTTGATCACTATCTTATCTTATGTAACAATGCATGTAGTACGGAGGAAGGAATATGTTACGGTATTGAATATCAAATATCCATTCTTAAAATACACTAAGAATATATTGGTAAGGGAAGGATAGTATAGTATAATTATCGTGTATCGAGGTAGGGGTTTTCCTTCCGATGGACACATTATGGATCATTCGCCATGACACGTTATATCATACTTAGGAAAGAGGTAGCTAGACATGTGAGAAGAAGAGAAGATAAGGGCAGAGGGAAAGAAGAGAGATAACAGTAGAGTGAAAGGAGGGGTCAGAGGATGGATGGATGCTACATGTTCACTTGGGAAGGAATGGAGTAAGGATGGAGTAATGGAAGAATAGAGGGAGGGGTGAAAGGGCGAGAGGGTCAGTCATGGCTTTCTCCATTGACGCCATTTACTTCGGGGTGGTGACCATTTGCATGCCCGTTAGTATCCTCAGCGGAGTGCCCGTTGGTGTGTCCGTTAGACATGCCGTTTGTCATCGGCCGAGAAGTAAAAGCGTCTACGATATCGGCCATGCTCATGTCACCGGGAGGCACGGCTTTGGCCTCCGTGGCGTGAGAGCCCACGGTCAGGGTGGTCACGCTGGGGATCATCTGTTCAGCATGCAGGCGATTAGCCCAGCGGAAAAGGGCTTCGTCGCCGCGCGCACCCCCGGCGACGAACACGAAATCCGGCGTGCGGGGTAACTGCCGCAGGACGGATTCGGCTGCT